CCATAAGGAGGGGATAAACACTCTCCTGTACACTGCCGTTTCTCACCGGCAACCTCTCTCCCTCCGTAAGCCACTTCCAGTGTTGCCGGCCCCGGGCTGCCCGCGGGTTCCCGCGCTGCCGGTGCTGGAGGGTTTGTAACGCGCGATGCGGGGACCGGGGCCTGGCAGGAGGGGACCGCGCTTCCCGGTGCTTCCCGCTGCCCTCGGGGCCTGTGCCTGCGGAGCCGGGAGTTCAGCCAAAGCGCAACTTGCTGGTAACGATCGATCTTTCCCGATCGGCTCCTGGCAGACGCCCTTCGGGCTCCTCAGAGTGTTCAGCGTTGTGATCCCGTTCCTGTATGTCGGGACTCAGATCAGCAAGAACTTCGCGGCCCTACTTGAAGAACATGACATCTTTGTCCCAGAGGATGACGACGACGACGATTAAAGGGTATGTCGTTAACAGCACCAGCAATCTGATTATTTGTGCTTCCTGTTGGGCTTGGGGCAGCGAGGAGAATCTCCGGTTAGGGAATACAGGCAGCAACAGCTTGAAAGGCGCATTTGCAGTTTAACACACCAACTCCGTACTGCCTCTGGCTATGAACTTTTATGTTCTTTTACACCAGAGCAGGCCAGAGTGGTGTCTGAGTGTGAAATCTCCACAATATACACGTGTTAAAGATCAGAATAAACTGATGGTGCTCTAGATCTTGTCATTTGAATCATAAATAAACTAGTCAGTGAGAGTCTACGCTGCATACAGAAAAGATGGAGTTCAGTGTTATTAAATGTTTAACTGTTTAAAAGTCTTCTGCTAACTCACAGAATGACTATTTAAAAAAAAGAATCACTTGTATGAAATTCTGATATAAAGTGAACAATTTGAGAAAATCAAATCAACTGTCAGCTGGGTGTTACAGCACTGATCTCTGGAGTAGTTGGGACCATTGAGACTCATCGGGTAAACGCAGAGCAGAAAGAATTCACCTTTACCTACACTACCCTATATCTTCCTTCATTTTATGTTACTGCATTTGGTTTGCCCTTGTATGAAGACTTGAGTTTGGGTGTATTTCTTTATAGCACAAAAGTTGTTTTAAATAAGTTGTTGTTAAGTAGTGTTGCTTTATGTTTGGTGGATATATTGCATTTGATAAACAGATTTTACAGCATGCACTGTGCAGCTAAAACAAAGAATTAAAAGATTGTGAAGACTGCAATGGCCTGTTAGAAACCCCATTTACGTAAATTGCCACATTGTGTGGCTCGGGGAGAGGGTACAGACTGGAGCTCCATACACTATATCTGAAGAGTAACGGCTTATTATTCTATTTGCAGAACTGTAATGGAAGAACAGAAGGGAGTAAACCATTGACAAAGCAATGGTTCCAACATCTGTCACCTGTGTTTTGCCTTTGCTAAATGGGACAGGGGGCCCTGTATCCCCTGTGCCAGCGAGTGTCCTGCACATGTCTGTAAGACAGAAATCTGTAGATCAGGGCTGAAGGAAGTGCTTGATAGGCCCTGCATCCTTGCACACACGCTCACCTCAAAGACTGCTTGAGATTCCTTTTATTAGCAATATGGGAAACACTTAATTAAACATCAAGATTGAGACACATGAATTTTGTCTTATGTTTTTATAGATTATGTGCCTATCATTTCTGTGCTATCATTTCTTGTGACATTATGTGCTATCATTTCTGTGCTAACCTCTCTACCTCCATATGTCTGTTCCAGTCAGGAAGCTCTCTTCATATTTATTTCCTCTTATGAGTCCTTTCTGTCATTCAGTCCTCATCTGTAGCACGTGACAGGAATCCTAGGGGAAGCAGCAGCCTCACAGCACAGCCCCATTAAAAGAATGGGAGTTCATATTGACACTGGCACTGCACTTCAAATAATGTTGATTTACAACCCAGCACTATGCAGGTATGCCTGATGGGAGACTGTATCATTAATTTCACCTCACCAAGGATTAACTACAGCATTATCATTGCAGAGCTAAAGTTTTGAGTAGGCTTGGTAATGTAAAAGGTTAAGATCAAATACCTTGAAAGGTTTAAGTAAATTTTTTTTTTTTTAAAGCCAGCATTGCCCCAGTGTCCTTCTCATGGTTTCTGGTCACTAGATCTGGCCTCTTCTCTTGACTGCCCACTATTCCCTTCAGTATTCTTGTAGCTGTTAAAAAGTTCCTTTTAGAGTCACAGGTACTAGCACAGTGTTCAAACAGCCACATTTACTCCCTTATTATTTAGCTCCACTTTCAATGTTTGCTCTGTAACTCTCCAGCTTAGATACTGAGAGAAAAGGGGGCCTGCAACCTGAGTAATCCCAACAGCTGTAGGTGAAGGAAGCTGGCAGGCTCTTGAGTCACTTGGTATCTCAGTTGCCCCTCCTTCTCCAAGGCCTTCCGAGAGGTGGTTGCTTCAGTTCATCTGCTCTTGGGAGGCAAACGTGGCCCTGCTCCTGTTTTCTATGCTGACAAATTCCTTACCACTGCTTTATCCTGCTGTCTCTCCTGGCCCTTCCTGACTCTCTTCCTTTTTCAGCTGTCCTAAAAAACACCCCACTCCCAAAGCTCCTAGGTACACGAACATACGCATCCCTGAGGAGTGCTGCTTTACAGTCTCACGTGGGGAAGAAGGCCCCAGTCTTTAGGCCAGGGTAAAAAGCAGTTTGAGTACTACAAGCATTCAATAGTCATCACACAGTGGGGAGCTCCAGCACTGAGTTTTCAACTGAAAACACATTCTGACTGGAGAAAGGAGCTGCTCTCCTTACCCTTCTCAAAAGGGAGCTAGTAATTCCTGATTCAATTAAGGAGGTGATGGAAGGACACCATCTTCTGCTAGGCATCAGAAGCACTTACAGAGCCTCCCTATTCTAGACCATAGTACGAAGCCTTATTTTTCCAGGTAATTTCATTTTGCAGCAGGGAAATGGACTCTGCTGATCCTTTCATTGCACAAAGGGTTTTATTGGGCTATTGGATTTTATGCCATTCTCTGTGAGGAAGTAAACAGAGAATAGTGTCCAAGTGAAAAACACAAGGTCAACATTCATAGCATGAAATTGCAAAATGCTGCACGAATACAGATAGGGCTCAAGCACAAGAATATTTCTGGTACTACACTGGCTTTTCTGAAGGCCTGCTCCTTTCCACTCACTCTTCCACAGAGCCAACATACATGCACAGGGCTGCAGGCTAAGCAGACAGCTCAAGCCAGGTTGTGTTGTGGTTATTGAACAGGCACTCCCGGGCAAGTGTTGGGACAAGCTCCATCCACTGAAAATATACACTGGCAAAAAAATAGGAAATCACAGCTCTTCATACAGATCACAGTGACTTGCACACACTCTGGATTCAGATTCAGTCATTAGGCTCCTAATATGCTATACAATCTTACAGTCTTTGTGTGCAGATTTTTTTCTACTATATAGAACTTTATTTGTCATACAAGGCAGGAAGACACAGAGTCAATCTCTCAGGGATCGTGGCCCGCATAGAATTTGGACAGAAAGTCTGTAGGTCGTGGGGTTTCCGTCTCATGGAAATACCTCATGACATGAGTCCTCTGCTTCCATACCTGAATGGTTTCTTGAAGTTCCATTTTTCCCTGCACACAAACAAAAGAATTTTAGACTAGTTCTCAGTTAGAGCCCGAGTCTAACTATACAGCACTATGGAAGTTAATTTGAATGCACTTAGAGACACCCTTAAGAGAGCTGCATCAACAATTCTGTACTCCTGAAGGCTGCTTGCATCACCTATACTGTGACACACACATACATGCTGTTCCTGCCTTGTGACTTCAGTGCTTCATGTCCTGTCACTTGTCTCTACAGCATAGCTTTCCAGGCCGGTGGAACAGGCAAGGGATCCTGCCTCCTTAGAACCTGGCTTGTTTCTCTCATGACCAGCACCCCCATAAAATTCTACATAACATTCCTAACTTTCATGCACCTCTATTTAATAGCAGCAAGTTAGCTGTAAAACTAACTAAAATTGCTGCCAAGTGCTTTGCACCAGTATCACTCCCACAAAGATATTAAACATCACTTCTTCATTACTCGAGTCTATGAATTATTGTATTGGTTTTGGAGGATGGTAGCACAGGGCAGAATGAGACCACCTGGAACTGTCACCTACTGTATTACCTAGGATTCTGTTCCCAGATTTTTTTCATTAATTTAAAGACAGACTAACTGTCTTGAAATGCAAGAAATAAAACAAGTGAGCATGGCAGTCCTTGGTTGGGAGCTTTCTAATGCATTACAACTGCAGAGGTCTGTTACTGTTTTTCAGACCCATTTTGAAGCCTTCCCCTGCTCTTGGTGTGTTGATTACTGCTTTGCACCAGACAGGTCTCTCAGGCCTAAGACATGACCAGATGTGTTACAGACTCAAGGCATTCTGCCACTCAAAGCCAGCCTCCCATCAAGTACTGCCACTCTACTGTATGTTTCACAATCAGTGAAGAAAACCACAACCACTTGGGAGCAGAAAGGTCATTTTTAATGGTAAACTTGCTAGCAGCATCTTTTCCCCCCTTCTTTGATTGGCACTGTTTTCAAAGAAAAAACAAAACATGGTATTTAAACTACCATTTTGCTTACCATACACTTTCTCTTTTAAACACCTGCAAACTGGAAGAGCCATTACGCTGAGTAGCGGAAATATGTATTCTAGCAGCTCTTGACTTAGGTGAGTTAAGACCCTATTCCTCTGTCTACTAAAGCAGCTTGATCCCTCATCAACAGGTTTGTTGACAGAGATAAACCAATCTGGATTGCAAGAGACAACTCCTCCATAGCGCAAGCTGAGATAAAGCTGTCCCTCTCCTCCATCACACTTAACAGCAACTATCCACTCCCACATTCTGTGCAACTTCACCAAAACGGGAATAACTTTTTTGTACCTTAATAACCAGCATGTCTATCACCCGTGGATCTCTAACGTGGGCATTCTTCATGAACATCTCCCGCACCTTGTTACGCCCCTGTTTCACTGTGATGTCCAGCTGGTATAGGTGTACTAAGAAAAACAGAACACCCCCAAAAGTATTGCTTTTCATTTTCCCACTGACAACATGCAATTCAACCCTACAAAACACTACACAGTCATTTCTTCTTGCAATGTCTGACAGCTTTGCTAATATTAATTTAAAGCAAATTATGTGTCCCAGTGCAATGTTAAGGAGGCAGGTAATCATGCCACGCATCCCTGTTCTGCAAAATTAAAGTTTGATTTCTCTTCTGCTTAGGAAAACCAAATGCCAAGGAAGGCTTGAGGAGATGGGGTTCCCCCTCTCGGGGAGGCTCCCGGGGCAGGGAGGACAAGGCAAACCCGGCTCCGCCAGGCCTGCGGGCCTGTGCTGCACCGGGGAGCGAGGCCGGGGCCAGGGCCCACAGCCCCTGTGAGGCTCCGAACAACCGCACTCACCCGCCGCGCACGCAGCAGACAGGGGACAGGGCAGCGAGGGGACGAGGCAGGACCCCTCCCACCA